AAAATAGAAAGGTCTCGTGATGCAGATGACATTTGAAATGATGTTGAAAAGCTGACAGGATTTTAGCCAGGGGACATGGGGGAAAGCTTTCCAGACAGGAAGAACAGAGTCAGCATAGGTAAAGAAGGAGGTATGCAGTCTAGGGTATTGTGAATGAACTTGTTTAAATAAAATAGAGAAAATACACACACACACACAAAAAAAAAAAAAAGGGAAGGGGGAAATAAAAAACTAGAAGTATCAACTCATGTCCCATTCTACAAGAGTCTAACATTCCAATTTGAGGGTCTTCTATGCCATCTTGTGTGAAAATATTGAAGCTTCAACGTGCTAGTAATATAACTTCAACCCACTCTGTTGATTTGGCTAGAGATATTAATCTCAGTGTTTTTGTGTTCCTCACCTTTTCTTACTCTGAGATGTTGCAATGAGGGTTTATATGCATTGAGAAGGAATAAGAACATTGGATTCTTAACTTTTCTTCAGTTTACTGCAAAGGCATTTCTCATGGTTTGTCAGTCCTTGAGGGCCTTTCAATGGAGCTGATTATTGTTTTTATTCCCTAATATGACATGTAACCAACTCCGCTATCTCACATCCCCAGTGTTGATCTGAAATCCCAGGTTCCTTCTCTCTAGAAACTCATAGATCTTCTCAACCACTGGTTGAGCTACCTGAAAAACAGTTCATGTCCCATGCCATACCACTACCACTTTCACCAACTTAACCATCTCTACCTCTACCATTAAGGAGCTCTGGTAGTGTAGTGGTTACAAATCGGGCTGTGAACCTTAAGGTCAGCAGTTCAAAACTACCAGCTGTTCCGTGGGAGAAAGATGAAGTTTTCTGCTTCCGTAAAGATTTACAGCCTCTGAAACCCTGTACAGGGTCGCTATGAGTCGGTTCTGACTCCATGGCACATAACCACCACCACCTCCAAGTCCTCCGCTATCTCAACTAGCAACAATTCCAAATTTACTACTTCCACACCACCATCAACACGACCTCCACCACCACCACCATGATTGCCTACACAGCTATTACCTCCACCATTTACACAACTTCCTCCACCACCCTTCCAAGGCCACCACCACCTCCATCACCACCACATCCATCACTTTCACTACCACTACCACCTCGACACCATTTCTACTAACTCCACCATCACCAACCACCACCACCACTGTCTCCACTGCAATAACCTCCATCACAGCCTCCATCACCAGCACATCAACTTCCTCCTCTACCACCCCAACATCTACCACTGCCACCTCTACCATCAAAACTTTCACCAGCACCAGCACCAGCACCAGCACCACCATTACTGCCACCAACACCATCTCTTCCACCACCAACTTCACCACTACTCTGTTTCCTGCAACCATGTTGAAAATGCTCTTTAGTCTAATCTTTACTTTTGCAATGATACTTCTGACTAAGAATCATTACTAACAACCTAGACTCTTTCTCTCTCTACTTCTCTCTTTCTTTGTTCTGTGAATAGGCTTTTAGAAAGAAAATTTGAGAAGACTTCCAGGTTATGTTTTCTGATCTGACTGCTGTTCTGATACAATAAGCAGGGGTCTGGCCAACAGACTGAGGAAGAATAAAGGTAATGAAGAGAAAGTGGAAAATTTATTTAATGTATCAAAATACCATTTCACTAAGTATGTATGCAATGGAGGATATGAGGGTCACCGTATGTAGATTTGAGGAACATTATCATAATCATCTCAGAATTAGGGCACAAAATGAGTTAGAGGAGGTATAAATTGAAACGTAGAGACAAGATTATTATAAGAGTTCACACTGAATTGAATCAGTGGCAGTGAGAATGGAAATAGAGAGGAAAATGTGAAAAATCACAGAGAAGTGAAACCAATAGGATTTAACATATGACTGAATGTTGTTGTTGTTGTTATGTGCAGTGGAGTTGGTTTCAACTTATAGTGACCATGCATAGGGTTTACCAGACTTTAAATCTTTTGAAGGAGCAGAAAGAGTGAGGAAAAAAGAAAATGAAGGGACTAATAATGAAGGTTAAGACAATAACTATGTCAATTCTTGATTTATTCTCTACTCAGGAAGTAGAAAAGTTTATTCAAGGAAGAAAAAATAAATTTCATTTTGACAATGCCAAGTTTATGGTGTCCACATGACCCTAAATGGGGATTTCCGGGAGGAGTTTGAATTTGCAACCCTAGCTCAGAAGTCACCAGGTGCCTCAAATCCTTAATGAATGATATTCTTAAGTAAGTAACTCGTTTAAATAAACCATGACAGGCTGTGTGGTTGTGTGCCACCAAGTCAGTCCCAACTGCTAAGAACCCTGTAGAGGGTTTCTGAGGCTGTGATTCTTTACAGAAGCAGAAAGTCTCATCTTTCTCCTGAGAAGCGGATGGTAGATTTGGACTGCTGACTTGGTGGTGAGCTCGTAATCCATTATGCTACCAAGGCTCCTTCTATGACGGGATTACTATTGTTGTTGTTGCTACTGCTGTATAGGATTCGAGCACAAAGCCCCATCTGTCTACTGTGGAGCTGCTGGTGTACTCCAACCGACCTTGTGATCCACAGTCCAATGCTTATTATATGGAGTCCTACAGAAAGATGAACCTTTCTGCTCCCGTAAAGATTTACAGCTTCAGAAATCCAGTACAGGGTTGTTATGAGTTGGAACTCTTTAGCATAAAATCACCACCACTACCACCACCAGATAAGAACGATTCTTTGTATGAGGGGGCATCAAAAACTTCATGGAAAAGTCCTATTATCCTTTAAACCCATTTTCCATGAGCTTTTTGAAGCTCCCTTGTATATGTTGATAAAAAAAAAAAAAAAAAAGAGCACATATATATAGAATAGGGGAGATAAAAGGAGAAATAAGAATGCAAGGTAGCAATGTTCCAGAGATGAGAAATTAAGATGGAGGGGATGTTCATAAGAACTTCAGAGTCTTCAAAGTTAAGAAGCCAAGAAAAGTCAAAGCATATGTAGATGTGAAAGTTACTAGAGGCTTCACCAAGACTAGGATAATATTAGGGGAGAAGACATACAGCAAGACATTAAAGATTGCAAAGATGATGTGTAGACTTCTGCCTGGTCAAGGTTTCCTAGAGAAATAGAATCAATTAAATAATATGTGTGTGTGTTCATGTGCACAGTGCAGTGAATTCCTTAAGAGTTTTCTACCCATGGTCTTTGTAACTCCCACCAAACAACATTTTTACCCTGCTAGCTCTGGGTACCAACGAGCTCTGATAGCATAGTGGTTACACTAATTTGGGCTGCTAATCTCATGGTCAGCAGTTCAAAACTATCAGCTATTTCGTGGGAGAAAGATGAGGCTTTCTGCTCCCATAAAGATTTACAGCCTCGGAAACCCTATACAGGGTTGCTATGAGTTGGAACCGACTCCACGGCACGTAACAACAGCAACAGCTCTGGGTACCATAAAGTGGAAAAAGATGCCAATGTATTATATGATTCAGTTGTGAGTGATTGTTAACAAGGTTAATTATAATTGTGAAAACTCAGAGCTCTAACGAGAGTATAAAATGAACCACCTCAGATGCAGTAACAGAGGATCTTGCTGCCATCAAAGAAGAACAAGCCAGGAGTGGTTACATCCTTGAGACCCTGAGATCCCTGTGCATTGATGAACCCAGAGACAGATATCTGACATTGGATGAGTGGCAAAGGAGCAGCAACAGCAGAAACAAGAGCCAGAGTACCAAAAAGTAGTGTGTTTCCTAGTCCATAGAGCAAGCAAATCTGAATGCCTTTGGACAGGAGACTCATTTGTGTAGTGGGGTACCTCCAGGCACTTAGTTGAGGAGCTAGGCTTGCTGCTGCATGGCTTGAGAGCCTAACAGGCTTTGGACTGAGGCTTAGGGTGGAGTGGTATGCCTTTTGGACATTCATCAGCAGCTTTATAGGTTCTTTGTAACATAATAGGGCAGAGGCCAGACCAAAGGATCAAGGGTCACAGAGAGACCTGCATGTGGGCATAGCTGAGTAAAGGCTCCCCTGACTGTCTTGAGCAGAAAGCCTCATCTTTCTCCTGCAGAACCACTGTTTTTCATGTTTCTCTGTTTTGAACTTTTGACCATGAGATTAGCAGCCCAAATTGTAGCCACTGTGTTACCAGAGCTCCTTCTCTCACATAGTTGTTGTTGTTCGCGGCCATCAAGTCGGTACCAACTCATAGTGACCCTATGCACAACAGAATGAAACACTGCCCAGCCCTGGGCCAACCTCACAATTGTTGCCATGCTTGAGCCCATTGATGCTGCCACTTGGCCAACCCATCTTGCTGGAGGTCTTCCTTTTTCTCTGACCCTTCACCTTACCAAACATGATAGCCTTCTCCAGTGACTGATCCCTCCTGACAGTATGCCTGAAGTATGAGAGATGAAGTTTGGCCATCCTGGCCTCCAAGGAGCACTCTGGCTACATTTCTTCCAACACAGATCTGTTGGTTCTTTTGGCACTTTCAATATTCTCCTCCAATATCAATAGTAGATAGATATTAGTAGTATTTGAGCATTGTACTTAACTGAAAAAATATAACTCACAGAAAATGATCATACTATAATAGAGAAAGACTTATCAGTATTGGAGAAGCAATGAGTGCTACAGGTATTAGGTTGTGTATATCCCTGGGGAGAAAAGTCTACTCCAAAGCAGAGAGAGCAAGAAATGGACCACAGGAAGTGACAACTCAAGGTTGTGCTTATGAGTGAGTGGTGGGTTGATACAGGGGTAGATCTTCCATAATGTCCATCAGCCTCTGCAAGCTACCTTAAGCCTATGTGGTAAGTGAAAACAGCCTCAAAGTGGGTGCCCTGCTCCCCTCTTCCAACAACTGAAAAAAATTGTCATTTGATCTGTCATTTCCCCAAAAAGTTTTAGGGGCAATAAGAAATAGAAAATACATGATATACTCTGGACATCAGTCAGGGGAACTTCTCCTTGTCCTGCTTCTTTCCAGTAGTCCTTTAGTAAAACCAGGAGATTAGATGAAATCGCTGATTCTCTTCAGAGGCGTCATGCAAAATTGGGGGTGGGGATGTTACAATATTGGTGTCAAAATGATTAAAACGAACACATCGGTCTTGGGAGAAAGACAACAAAAAATGTTCTTTAGAAGTGAGGATGTCAAGATTTTGACTCACTTACTTTGGACACACATGAAAGATGGATCCTTAGAAAATGATATCGTATTTGGTCAAATAGAGGACCCGCTAAAAGGAAGAAACCATCTATGAGATGGGTTGGCACAATGGCCACACCATTGGGCTCAGACAAAACATCGAACATGACAGTGGCGCAGGAACAGGCAAGGCTTTGTTCTGTTTCAATGGAGTCACCATGAGTTGGGGTGACTTGATGGCACCCAACCACTACTAACATGTAACAGATATGGAAAGGGATGTTGTCACACCCAGGAATTGTCCTGTATCCTACACAACTTTCTAATATCCCCATGACACAAAGGTAGGTGAAAACCCTTGTTAGGATTAATGAGCCTAGAACCTAACTCTGTTTTACATCTAGAAAGCAATGTAGTTCTGTACCATTTCAATATATACTGGGAAGTCCTGTTGTGGTGCTGTAGGATAAACACTGGACTACTAACCATAAGGCTGGCAGTTCAAATCGACCAGCTGCTCTTTGGAAACTCTATACAGGTTGCTATGAGTCAGAACTGACTCGACGGCAGTGACCAACAGCAATATATACTGGACTTGCTAATCTAGCATTCTATCCTAATATCCACCTATACTTCCACTCTCACATTTTAATTTCTGCTTGTACAGAATGGCTTCTGATATTCTTCTTTTAAATCTGAATTATTCATTTTAAGTATTATAGGCACCTGGCAACTTCAATATGTCCTCTAGGCTAGTTCCTACTTGGGAATTTACATACTGAAATACTATATATTATAAATCATTTTACTTTCTTTTTCACTTATAGGTAGGACATTTTTTAAATTGTTTGAGCATGTAAGTTATATATTCTATGGATTTTCCTTGAGGGTAGTACAGGGGTGTCACAGAATACTGTTTAAAATAAAATGTGCTCCTAGGTCTGAAAGGATGGAAACCACTGGAGAAATTCTCTGATGTCTCTGTGCCCTCTAGAATTCCATGACTCACGATTTATGCACAGTACCATTCTCTACCTCTGAAGGGGAGGGGAAAAGTAGAATATTTTACTTGTTGTACAGTCTACACTGCACTTAACAGTAAATGCTGATGGTCATGTGAGTGTTGGCCTGTCCCCTAACAAGTAGCTGTATAATATTTGACTAACCTAAGGAAATTATCAACAAATAATGGAAGCTGAGGGAGTCATATCCGTAACTAATACCAATTTCTTATGGAGTAAACAAGATACACGCAGGTCATCTAAAGTATGCTGATTTTCAATGATCAATCAAGATTTTTTAAAAATCAAGATTTTTAAAAATCAATTAAAAAAAAAAAAAATCTTGCCATGGAGTCAACTCCAACTCGTGGCAACCCCTTGTATGTCAGAGTAGAACCTCCATAGGGTTTTTCAATGGCTGATATTCCATTGAAGTAAATCAACAGGGCTTTCTTCTGAGGTAGCTCAGTGTAGACTTGAACCCTCTAACCTTCTGGTTAGTATCTGAGCATATAAACGATTTGCACCATGCAGAGACTTCCTGTGATTATTACTATCCTGTTAATATTTCTCTGAGCATTGTGACCAGTTTACTTTACCTTCTCAGGGCTCTACGTTCTTTTACCTCCTTGAGGTTCTACATCCTGTTCCTCTTGAAAGACTCTCATAATTTGTTTTGCTATCCAAGGAGCTAAATGAACCTGTTTTTCAAGAGAGGAAGAACTTTTGATGGAGCTGAAATGGCAAGTCAAATACAGACAGCTGAAATAACTTGTGTTTGGTTATTGTATATTTCTTAAACAAAATAATCACCGTCTGGGAGTTGTGGGCAAGTCTTCAGTGCTTGAGCAAACTAAGTCATTTGTTTTGTTTTGCTGCTGATGCTGATGCCACTGCTGCTTCAAAAAAAAAAAAAAAGTCATTGCAAAAGATACAAAAAGCAATGCATGTATTAAAGAATGAATAATATACTTTTTTTTTTTTCAAAAATAATCTATGTATATAGCCCCTTGCTATGGTGCTGTAGGATCAACACTGGACTATGAACACAAGGTCGGCTGTTCAAACCCACCAGCCTCTCCTCAGAAACCCTATACAGGATCGCTATGAGTCAGGACTGACTTGACAGCACTTAACAACAACAATCTATGGATCGATCGATCAGTTGGTCAATAGACAGATTGGTATAAGCTTTTGTCTTTTAATCAAATTAAATTTCTATTTTTACTCACCCTACTTCCACTTGATGGCATAGTACTTAATTGTCTCAGTCCCAAGTGAAATCTGTCAATTCCAGCGATCTTTTTTAACCCTCCTGTGTTTAACACGTAGTTCCTTTTAGGGTTAGCCTTGCTCCTTATCCTGCAGAGTAGAGTGCTAGTAAGACAGTGCTTTCCAGGCCTCCTCTATCATTACCTACTCTGAGATGGTCTGTGTTAAAGATGCTGGCATCCCCATCAGATCTCCCAGTGCACACTGACATGCATCCCTCAGCTATGGTCGCAAGAGACCACTATGGGTCTTTCCTGATCTCAGTGATTCATTCAAGTCACTCTTTACCATCAAAAGAGAACCATCTGACTGTTTCCCATTGGAGTCAGAGAGAGTTCAGATGAAGGTAAACACAGACCATCTGCTCAAGTGCTGAATGCAGCCATCTCTGCTCTGATGGGTTGTGGCGGCTCAAGGATGCTTCTGTGGGAATAGGTACTTTTCAAGGCAAAAGGACCCCCAATAGTGGCATTCTCCTACTTCTCTCTTAAAGGGAAAGGAGTTCCTTCATTGCCTGCCACTGCCCAGGACTTGACCCAAAGCGTTAAAAGATAAGCACAAAGCTTTCACACCAAGGTCTGTCTGGCTTTATCATGAAGTCTCTCTCCTTCCTCTTTCCCATATCCTTACCACCAAACTCCACAGGTACCTTTGCCAGATTGATTGACAAAAAAGGAAAACAAATTCTCTCATTTGCTATGTGTGATGTGGCAACTTCAGTTTTGTGTCAACTTGATTGGGCCAGGATTCCCAGTTGTTTAGCAGTTGATAGTTAACTCTATGATGATTGGCTACGAGCAGGCATAGTTAAATCTATGATGATTGGCTATAAGCAGCTTATGTATTGAAAGGATGTTTCCTTGGGGGGTGTGGCCTGCTCCCAATATAATGGACATGCAGAAAAGACTCACTCCCTTCCCCACTGGATCTGGATCTCAAATCTGAGTGGTCCTCCAACTCTGATTCTTTGAACCTGAGCCAGCAGCCTGCTCTATTGTTTGTTTGCATGCTGGACCTGCCTGCTGAGTGTGCCTGGAAAACCAGATGCCCACCACAGGGCCCTGCATGCCTGTTACTGTAGTCCCAGCTTGAGTGCTCCACACCCCCAGTTCTGCAGTGTGCCTGCCCAGGCCTTGGTTGCCCATCACCCCTGCTCCAGCACCAAGGTCCTGCTCTGTGCCCCAACTTGGGATTCCTGCCTTCTGGGCCTGCCCACTGATCTTGGTCTATCTGGCCTGCACTTGGGACTCTCCTATCTCTACAATCAGGAGCCATTTCTTTGATATAAATTTTTCTCTCTCTCTTTCTATCTATCTATCTATCTATCTATCTATCTATCTATCTATCTATCCACAGACCACTGGTTTTGCTTCCCTAGAAAACCCAACCTAAGTCACTGTGTTTTCTAACTCTTTCCTTGATGCCCATTCTATTTCCACTTAAGAATAGTGAAGTAAAATGAGCTCTCACAGATTGCTGATGGAAGTTTAGCTGGTACAGCTTTTGGCATTGTGCTTCATACGATCTAAGCAGTGGTTCTATTTCAGTAAGCCTAGCTTAAGAAAATAATCACAAAACTAAAAATGATTTTACACAAAAATGCTAAGCATCTCATTATTTATAATCACCTAAAATGAAAACTTTCTGGAAATAGGGAAATAGAAGTGGAAAATCACAGTGCTTTTCTGTGATTCAATAATGTACAACCATTTATAAAAACATTTAAAATAAAAAACATGAGACCATTTTTAAAAAATTGAATAAGGAGTTGATTGATATAGGGAAATATTTGTGGCAGAAAATTAAATTAAAAAACAAGTTTGAAGCATACATTAGATTTCAGAAAGTTGGTCTGAAAAAAGAAGAATATAAACAATCTCATTGATAATGTTTTATATTGATTATATTTTGCAATGAAAATATTTTTGATATCTTGGGCTAAAAATATATATTATTAAAATTACACTTGTTTCTCTTTGCTTTTTAAATGTGCCTCCTGGAAGATTTAAAAATGCATATATGGCATACCTAATAAAAACAAGGGAAATCCTGAAAGAGATGAATTAGCCCAAATGACCACAACTGTGGACTCATGAATACCAACAACAATCGTGAGGGGTCTCTAGGAGTTGGAGCCAACTCCATGATAACCAATAGGAATATAGTTCCACCAGATAGCTCTATTGCAAATCTGACACAAGCAAAAGATCAGAACACCATGGTACTCCAATAATTTTGTGCAATATTTTGCACAAAAAAATAATCCCCCCAACACAATGATGCTTTGAACAACTACTCTATTTCTTAAAGCATCATTTCTTCCTGTTCGCTGAGCACACACATTGAGGGCTTGTGCTAGATGCAAACCCCTCTTGATCTCTTTACCTGCACACTGTGACACCAGTTTTTTTTCTCCCCTCTGAGAGAAAGCCTCTGTTCTGCATTCATGGACCATGCAGCAGTGTCCAAAGGAGAGCTATGCCTCAGGATCAGTGGCCACCTGGATCCCTGTGAGTAGACAGAGCAGTAGTAAAGAGTTTTTGAATGCTAACATTAAATATCTTTAAATACTAGTAATATTCAGATAGCCTCTGAACAAAAACCAAGACACCATGCACACACCAGTTGCTTTTGCGCCAATTTCGACTGATGACGCCCCCATATGTGTCAGAGTAGAGCTGTGCTCCATCGGGTTCTCAGTGGCTAATTTTATATGAATACACCACCCAGACTTTCTTCAGAGGAGTTTCTGGGTGGACTCGAATCCCCAACCTTTTGGTTAGCAGCCAGGCATGATAATCGTTTGTACCGCCCCAGGATTCCTGAAAACCAGCACATGGTTATAAAACCTCCTTACATGATAATTGTGCATGTGAAACCTCTGGACTTTTGTTCAAAGCAAATCTGACGGATCCTTTTTAGAAGACAGCCCCACCCCTCCACCTGAGCTGAGGTCATTGGTAAGTGGCTCAGTCTGTCAGAGTCAACGGGCTGCTGCTGGGAGGGGAGATGCTGAGGGGAGAGAGATCTGGAAAGGTACTACTGGAGAGGCATTGACTCAAGTGTTTCTAGTCACCAGGACTTGGTCCCTGTCATTTGGACACATGAGTTGCAAGAACTGCAATAATTCACCCAGTGCTGTTAACTTGGATTTGGAGTAACTGATGTCTTGTTGCTGATGATTTTCTTAAATGGAATTGTGCACGTCAGCAAAGCACAGGAAATAAAACTTGCTCTGAGCCTGACATAGCAAACACACCCCGATGAAAATCTATCAATCCTAAAGACTGTCATCCACCAGCCAGCAAGCAATTTTGCTAACTCCATTTTTAAAGAGCGCGCATTTCTGCATTTCATCTATTCTAAGGGTTGCTGTTATTCATCAAAAGATGGTTTATAAATTATTTTGGCTTCTTTTCATAAATAAACGAGTCCGTTTAATTTACAATGAGAAAAGAGTTGCAACTGCACTATGGGAGCACATTAAATGTTTCAAAACTCTGCCTCTACTAAATGACAGCCTGGCAGTGTACAATTGTCCTCGAGTTTTCTCTAGAACTGTGCCTCTAACCAGATCAACATTGTTGTTGGTAATGGCATAGCAACCTCATGCACAATGAAATGCCAGACATTGTCCAGTTCTGTCACATCTCCACGCTCCCTTGTGGCTCCATAGGTTTGTCAATGATTGATTTTCAGAGGTGAATGACCAGGTCTTTCTTCCTAGTCCATTTCAGTTTGGAATTTCCGCTGAAACCTATTTAGCACCATAGCAACAGATATTGAACAGGAATCAAACCCTATCTCCTTCAGGGAGGAGAGAGAATTCTACCACTAAACTACCACTGCCCCAGTCCCCACTAACCAGAGTAACAAAGCATCTACCTGCTTTTCAAACTTTCACTTCTCAAGAGGTCTGCTGAACTTGACCAACACTGCAGTTAACTTGGTTTGTTGTTGTTGTATGCTGTTGAGTCAGTTCTGACTCATAGCAATCCTGTATAGGGTTTCCAAGAGCGGTGGGTGGGTTTGAACTGTTAACCTTGCAGTGCTTGTTCTACAGGCATCTCTTTTCATTGCATTTTCCTGCCTTCAGATCACCATTGTAATTCTACCCCAAATAGCAGCAATAAAGATCTTCCCTATCCTTATATCCCTTCCAGGGGTGGGGAACCTTTTTTCCTACCAAAATTTAAAACCTCATTTGCAGGCCATACAAAATTATCAATTTAAAAATTAGTCTGCTGATGTAAATTTAAAGGTAGACGTTTTGTAACAAAAGGAGGGGGAGTGGTTGATCTTGCAGTACTGGAGCGGAGGACCCTAGGACCATCAAAGGAGAAGAGTGGAGTGTGGGACCCTATCCAGAAAATCAGCCACACCAGAGATGGAGGCAGAGAGGATGCTATGGAGAGATGGAGTGGCTGGG